TGACAATGAACCAGTCAGGTGACCTATCTCTTGAGTCAACCTGCACGTGCTTGCAGAAAATGCAACATTGGAGAAGAAGGCATAGAGGAACTGAAAGTGACATCTATGGTTTTTGTTCTCGGCAAGCCACAAGCCATGCCAAGAATATCACCTTTTTGGGCAAATCACAGTTAAGAAAGACACTAGAACTCTTCAATATGGAGTGATTAGTGGATATTGGAAAAGAAGGAAGCACAAGAAAATAATCTCAAATGTAGCATCAAAAGATGGAATAATTCTATTATATTGGATATTTACGCAATGTGATTCAGTTGCATGAATGATTACAACTGGGGATTTTTTTAATAATTAATTTTTTAAGATTCACCTCCTCTTCCATCCAAATTAGCTCTCAGAAGAATGGTCTACTCTCTACATAGTTCCGTTGCCTCGCTATGTTCGTGTGCTCATGGAATCTTCCTAGTTTCAAGATTAACTGAATTTGAGAATGTAATCATCTGGCAGAGAGTCCATAGTTATTCACCTTGCAGAATCCGCCACTTGTCCCAACCTTAATTTCCCTTGTCTATACTTGGTCTTCTTTCTTCTTTAACTAATGAAAGTATTCCTGGTAAGGAAAGTATTAGGTTCGTCTTTCCTCTTTAACTAATGAAAGTGAAGGAAAGTTATTTTCATCTTTCCCTGCGGATTTGAGGAGCTTTTGTGCTATGAGAAAGTCTTTGGGCTAGTTGAAACCTAGTAAAGAAGAGATCGTAAACTAAGATGTTGTACAGGGGACGAAAAAGTTAGCTCATTGGATGATAAATATATAGTTCACGTACATGAAGAGTTTATAAGAGACTGATGGATCGGATTGGAGCAAGTGGTTGACCAATCATTCACGATGCTGCAATTGGCTCATTTTGTGTTCTCTCTGTTGTCGAATCGGTCATGGGGAGTTATTTATACAAAGTCATATGGCATGATAAATATTTAAAGAAGGTCAAGTTCTTCATATGGGAGCTTAGTCACAAAAGCTTAAATACCCGCTCTTTATCCCTGGGATGGTGCCCTTTTTGCAAAATGAGATCTAAGTCATGAGGCCACCGTTTCTTAAATTACTCCTTTGCTGGAAAGTTTTGGAATTATATTCTCTCCACTTTCAGTTGGTTCGTTGCCCTTCTCCCATGGACAAATGGTGGGATAAACTTATCTTTTTCAACAACTATAGTTTTCAATCACTTTGGCCAACAGTTTTCTGTAATTTCCTTTGGCTTGGGATTCCGCTTCTTTTCTAGCTTCATGTCGTCTAGGAAATTGTTTCTTATCTTAAAAAAAGATGTAGCAATTTTCTCAAGAACTGTAAGGAGTTAGTATTGCAGGAGGGATAAGCAGCAGGTAATGGAAAATCGAAGATGTAAATCTGTGGAGGAAGTTGCTCGAGGATTATATTTTAGGGATTGATCCTATGCAGTTATTGGCTATCTTCTACTTAACTTTCTTAGCATCTTGCTTGGAGCTAAAACATATACCAATATTTGAATGTTAAATCACTGAATTCAGTATCTTCTACGTCAACTTGAATTTGGTTTTGCAGGATGATCATCATGGCAAGAAACTGCTGCGACAACACTCAGCAAGCAGAAGCCACGGGAAATCTTGAGACTTAAAACTTCCAATTGAAAGTATTCACAAACCCGAATTTGTCATCTCTTAACTTAATGAAATAGCTGCTGATTGTTATATTTCTTCAATTCTTCTTGTCAGCACTCCCTAGTTTGCTGCTGATGGATGAGCTTCAAATTCTACGAAATATATGTCTCGAGGTGAGCAGGAAAAGAAAACCAGGCAATATGGGTATGATTATGACTTAGCCTTCGTCATTTATTTTTCAGTGCTAAGTAAAACCGACTCAAGTAATAATTATTTAGCACCTGTTTGGTGCAAGTACTACTACTACTACTACTATCCAAAAGATGGTTTTGCTTGTGTGCCATTTGGGAGAATCTTCATTGTATTATGAACTTTCTATCCTTTTTGCTGCACAATTTTTGGTTTTGAAGTTCTACCAGTACCATCCTTGTGTTTATGTTTGACTGTTGTAATTAGAAAATGTGATGTATGAGTAGTTTAGCTCTCGCCCTTATCTATATAAATGCGCTTCACTGTGGATCTTTTTTGTCTTTCAAATATTGTAGTTTTCAAAAAAACTAGCTGAAATGTTGTAGTTTACAAAAATATTGTAGTCTTGCTGGTTCCCAAGCTTGGAGTCTCTTGGTCATACTGACTTAGAGGTTTCAAGTTCGAACCTTCTGATGAATTTAATATAAAAAACTCTTGTGGGTCCAAATATTGGGTGGGTGCAAGTGCCATTGGGTAGTGCCATTTTATCAGGATTTTGGTTATCAATTTTAATGGCACGAATCTTAGATGACTAAAAAATTTCCCTTGAAAAATTGTGTATGTATATATATACTGAGTTCTAAAATTAGAGTGTCGGAGATTGGATTATTGACCTTTGAAATTATTTTAATAGATTATTTTAATGTTCAAATTAGCATTAAAGGATATATTTTAGCATCACAAAAGTACGCATTTAATTATATTGTCTATATTCTTGTTTGTTTTTCAAAATTATAAATTTATTTACAATTAATTATTATTATTTTTTACTAAAAATACTATCTTACAAAATTAATACAATGTTAAAAAAAAAACCACACATAAGAATCAGTTTCGTAATTCTTTTTTGCAAATTGGAAATAATGCAGTATTTATTAAGATATGACAGCAAGAAATTGAATTAAATGTTTTCATTTTAGGGTAGATTTGACATTTAATCTCAATTTTAAAAATAGTTAAATATTTGTGTTTAGTCATAGTTATCAATTAAATATTTAATTCAATCTAAAATATTATTAATTAATTTATTAAGATATACGTGTTATAAATTTTGTACCATAATTATTTTATAATATTATATAATTTATAATATATTATGTTTTGCTTATTATAGTAAAAATTAAAATGGGTTTATAATATGAAATATTAAGTTGGTCAAAATTTTAAATTTCTAAATGTTATTATGTATTTTAGATTTTAGATTTGAAATCTGAAAATATTTAAAAAAATTTAACTATTTGGATTATAGAATTCAAAATCGGTTTTAAAAAACAGATATTTACTAAATTCTCCCGATAACAAGAAACATGACTCAGATTGAAATAGACCCGACATTTCTTCAAATTTATTTGCAATTTCGAAAAATATCTTTCTTTACAAATACCAAAAATTTAGAAAATAATTACAAGCCCCATAAATCAAGAAAATGCATTTTTTTTTTAAATGGAAAAATGCTTTTCACAACAGAAAAAAGAGAAGAAAGATAAAAAGCGTGGATTCAACTGGTCAAAATATTTATTCGTTGATCACCTTAGAGTGAAATATGGAGATCAGAATGTCAATGGGATCTTCTCCAAGGAAAAAAAAAAAAGAAAAAAAAGAAAGCTTTAGCCTTTTGAGCCGATTTCTCACCCAAACAAAACAATCTTCGAAATCCAATTCTGGCCAATCATCTTCCACCAAATTCCCACAAAATCAATTTCCTCTGCATCCATGTCTCTTCTCCACAACAGCCCCATCTCTCTCCCTCCACCATGCCTGCTGCAACTGCAACTGCTTTTCATTCTTCTTTCTGCTTCTCTTCTCACAAACTTTCTTCCTCTCCCTCAAATTCCCATTCCAACTCCCACCAACCAAACACTTTATTAGCAGCCAAACCCAAAACCCTCTTCCATAAGCATCCCCTCTACACCCCTCTTCACTCCACCCTCTCTTCCCAAGTCAAAGAGAAAATCCTGTGCCTTGAAATCATGGGTGTCGATGCTGGCAAGGCCCTCTCTCTCAATCCCTCTCTCCACTCTGTAACTCTTGAATCCATCCACTCTGTCATCTCCTTTCTCCAATCTAAAGGCATTCACCAGAAGGACTTCGCCAAAATCTTTGGAATGTGTCCCAAAATCCTCACCTCAGATGTCAAAACTGACCTCATCCCAGTTTTCAACTTCCTCTCTGAAGACCTTAAAATCCCAGATCAGAGCTTCAGAAGGACCATCAACAAGTGCCCAAGACTGCTCGCTTCAAGTGCCAAAGACCAGCTGAAGCCAGCTCTGTTTTACCTTCAGAGACTTGGGTTGAGGGATTTGGAGGCCTTGGCTTACCATGACTCTGTTCTGCTGGTTTCTAGTGTGGAGAGGACCTTGATTCCCAAACTCAAGTATTTGGAGAGTTTGGGATTCTCGAGGAGTGAAACTGTGGGGATGGTCTTGAGGTGTCCAGCACTGCTCACTTTCAGCATTGAAAATAACTTCAAGCCAAAGTTTGAGTACTTTTCTGGGGAGATGCATGGAAAATTGGAGGAGCTCAAGGACTTCCCTCAGTATTTTGCCTTCAGCTTGGAAAAGAGGATAAAGCCAAGGTATTTGGAGACTGTGCAGAGTGGAAAGAAAGTGCCTTTGTCACTTATGCTCAAGACCACAGATGATGAGTTTAGAGAATTGTTAAGAGAAGGCCAAGGGGGTGGTTGAATCTCTCTTTCTCTTGGGGCTGGTTTTTTCTGCTCTTGCCCCTTCGTTTTACTCTGTAAATTACATGATTTCAAAAGCTATATGTAACCTGTAAGTTATTTTCTTTGATTTTATCTCTTGCATCTCACTGTAGTTCTTCTCGATCATGTTCTGATCTGGATTACATACTCATCCTCCACATTTTTCACTGTTGAATATAGATAAAGCCATGAAATTCTTCAACTTGCCTATCTTTGATACTACTTTTCAAGTTTTCAGTGAGTTTGTTCTCTTTTCTTCCAGCTGTGAATTCACTGTATGAACAGAAGCATCCTCATTTTTATCAACACTCTTTTTAAGTTGGTGATTATCATCTTTCACATCTATTGTAATGCATATCTATAATTTCATTTTAAAATCATAACTCAAGTCATGTTAAGCACTCGAATATGAATCTCACTTCAGCTCTTCGATGGTCAAATTTGCCATACAGATGCCTGTCTTTGCCCCTTCAATTCGAGTTAGTTTTCAGATAAAAATCACAAGTTTTTTTAGGATGGCAGAAACAGAGGCATCCAAAATAATCCTGAGTTGGCGTAGTGGAAAAAGAAAATAGAGGCATCCTTATCAAACTAGATATTTTGCCAAAGAACTTGAAAGTACATTTCCATTACATTGAAAGAACATGCATCTGAAGACTCTGAACTTGTATTAATATGTATATAAATCTATTCAAATGTGTTTGTACATATGCAAAGCGCAAGAGTTCTGCAATCATCTTTAGAACGTAGCTGCACAAGGAAATATAAATCTGCACATACACTACATAAGTAAATATATCTTACATACAGGCCGTAGTCAACCTGATTGTTGTTTTATACACAACTTTCTTCATATGTGTAATCAGGCTCACTCTCAAATCCTTGATGCAAAAATGGGTATCAGCTTCTGAATGTTCCAGACTTGCTACTTTCTTGAGCTTCACAGTCAAAATGGCTCTAGTTAAGGAAGACATCTTGAGATATATATGCAGCCCATGCGTCCTATAAAGCACAGTCATAAACAAAATCAAAATCCTGCAAATATAGATTCTAATCACTTCAGTCCTTTTTTTTGTTTGTTTTGAACTCCGATACATTGTTGAGCAAGCTGGTGTTTGGCTTCAAGTTTGAGCGAAGAGTTACCTGAAGAATGGTAAAAGCCTTCTCAGCAACATATTTTTGCAGCATTGTTGCTCCTCTTTGCTGCAGCTTGTCTGGGTGGAGGCATAATCTTGCTTTTTGGTAAGCCTTTTTCACTTGTGAGCCTCCTATCAGGTTGGCCAAGGATATTGCAGACCACCCACTACTCGACCACAAGATCTGTATTAATTCCAAACATAAAAATGACATTAGATCACAAGTTGTCATGGAGAGAAAGGAGATGCTAATGATATTATTGGATTCCAAAGAACTTACATAATGCAGCGTGGAAAGTAGCAAACGGATATTGGTCTCCTTGCCGGCTGACCATAACTTGATTTTTTCATCCAGTCCTTCCAGTTCTCTCTGTTATTTGACAATAGGAGAATAAACAGAGATTAAAAACTCGTTCCTTAGCCAAAAAGAATATGAGCAATATGCCACGTAGATATCATATGGATTATTTGTAGAGAACTTTAACATTTCCCCCCACCATTTACGTAGCCAGATAAATATTTAGTCCTGAAATTAATTAAACCCATCTCAGGCTTTGTCCCTTGTGTATGATAAAATATTTTTCTTTATAAATAAGAGTACATGATGAAATCATTAGACAACCATTTTGTATGGTCTTGCATAAATTTGCTAGCTTGGTTCCTCTTTTTCCTAAATTTAGAACTAACCAGGAGCAAATCAATCGGGAAAATATCCTGTACTTTAAATTCTGGTGAAAATGAAATGATGCCATATTTAAAAACATGAAGCTCCAAGCTAATTGCTTACATCGATGTCCACCTGTGGCGTTCCTTCTTCAACTTTTACATCTCTCTGTTGTGTCTGAGGCAGAAAGTAGATCACTTAGGTTAGCAAACCAATTAAACTTTATTACACAATTGCAAATCTAGATGAATCGCATAAAAGGGCATGTTGGAGCACAAATATGAGCGAAATGTATTCATATTTCCTATTTTCCCATGTGCAAAGCTGAAAATCGTTACCTCTGCTGTTTGCAAATTTCCATTCAACTGCTGATCTGCAAATTCAAACGCAACAGGTCTTCCTGCAAAATAAAATTACCAAATGAGAATACTGTTACTGATTTTCACTATTGAACACACATTCATAAACAACAGTCCCACAAGGAAATACATGTACTGGTACTGGACAACTGGAATTTACCTTCTTCTTCACCAGATTGCTCACTTTCTTGTGGTCTACCGCTCAAATCTGTCTCGGACGTGGGACTTTGATACTTCGATTTAGCCCAAGCAATTGCATCATCGATAGAAACTTCTTCTCTATATTCTTCTCTATTGATGGAATTTATCTCAATGACATAAGAGCTCATAGCATCTTCGTCATCGTCATCGTCATCTTCTGGTAAGACATTACAATGAATATCACCATAATAAACCGGATCTTCACAGAGTGAAGAATAAGCAGATGACGGGGAGTTGAGTTCTAAATCATCCACAGGGATTTTGATGCTTCTGTATGAATTTGGTTCCAGACCAACGGTTTCTGGTGACGACATTGGGTCGCCGAATCCATGGTCCGAGCTTCTGAAACCATCATCGTATTCATCTTCCACATACTGGTTATCTATATGGGCAGAGAGATCGGGTGGAAATTGAGGCACTTCTTGTTCCTTGAACATGGTTCTGTATGAATTCCATTGAGCTGAGACATTGCTTTGCCTATTTCAATCAGGAGGTAAGATATTGAATTCTATCAGTCAAAACTAAATTATAGGAATGGATAAAACATATTAAACTAAGTACTAAACAACGCTGGTCAAATCAAGCTTCAAAACAGAGAATCAATTTACAGACATACATAGTAATAAAACATTAATGCTTCATCATTAAGCTCTAAGAAGCAAAGTCCTCAATAAAACAAAAATTGGTTGTTAGTTCATAAACTTAATACTATGAAATCAAACCCAGATAATTCATATTTTTTGTTAATTATCTCCATGAAAACGCCAAATGATATCAAACAAGAGATGGAAAAATGGCCAAAGCCTTAAGGGCCTACATGTCCAAATCGAATAATCCAAACTAGGGGGGGTCTGGCCCCTCAGTTTCTGCAGTACACTACCAACCTGTGATTTGAAGAAGATGAAGGGAATGCCACGTCATCTCCGACGAGCGGCCGGAGGGGGCTGAGGTCGGAGGATGAGTTCGATCTGGTGAATTCCTTGGAGCTCGGCTCCGACCTATCTCTCGACCGCCGGCCGTCGTCGGATCCAAATACATCGCGGTAAAACCTATCCTCCTTAACCGGGATTCTGAACGCCGGCAAGCTCCGCCCGGCCTTCCGCGGCCGAGAATCGAACTCCGTGGATCGGAATACTTCTTCGTAGAAGGAACTGGAGTCGGAAAATTGCCTGGAGATGACTGTCCGCAGCGGACCGCCGAAGACGTCGGAGAAGTCGTCTGGGTGGAAAGTGGTGGGTTTGGGGTGCAAGGTTTCGTCTTCCGATCTCCGGGAACGGAACCGCGGAATCCCAAAGCGCATTCGCCAGGTTTGGTCCATTATTCGGGCAAGAATCTGATGCAGAAACTGAAAGAATGAAGAAATATGAGATTCAGTAGATGAAGTGAAGGTGGTGGTGTATACCGTGGGAACAAACGGAAGCTCTGCCTTCACATATTTATACACCAAAAAGCTTATTTTATTTTTTCTTTTACGGCCATTTTTTGTGAATTTTTTTTAATTAATATTCCAACAAAACAAACGGAACTACTTTTTTCATGTTGAGATGAATTTAAAAATGAAGAGGACTTTTTTTTCTGACATTTTATTTTTTAAATATCAAAGAAATGATGTTTATAATATCTCTTGTTTTATTTTTTTGGGACAGGGTTTCAAAGTGTAATAAATACGATTTGGTTCTTTCTCGCACTATCTATTATCTAACCCACACTCCTAACAAAATAACAATAATAAAATAGAATTTTATACACACATATATATATTTACTTTTTTTTTTAAATACAATTTCATTGCTGTGTTTTTACTATACTAACAACTCAGTCTTCAAAAAGTGTGACAATTTATTTCTTATACTTTAAGATTTGTTACAATTAAGTCGTTAAATTTATCAGAATTATGACATGACTTTTTTTTAACTATTGGTTGATTTAAGAATAAGTCAATTCAAATTTGGGTCATCTTTTAAGGATTACAAAACAAAAGAAATAAAAAATTAAATCCAAACATCTTTTTCTCTATGGTGATCCACATGTCGCAGTCGTCACACGAACACCATCTCGTTGCTGAGTTATTCTCCCATCTTTTCGCGTTCTCTTCTCTGATAGCTTAACCTCGGTAGATCCAACACACAAAATTCAATTTCTTTTTTAGTACAACATGTGGGGTCGGTGATTGAACTCACAATCTCATGGTTAGAGGTATATGTCAATTATCGCTGACCCATGCTCGATTTAACACAAGATTCAATTTTACATCTGATAGATCGAAAATTTTGTATGTAACAAATATTTATTAGACACAAAATTAAAAGTTTAAGAATCTATTAGATACTAACTTATTTGATACAAATGTTCAATAATTACATTTTTTTTACATGGGTAGCCCTCTAGAGAATTTTTAATTTTGAATTCTAATTTTCTCCCTTTTTGTTGAATTTGACTTCTCTACAAATTCAAAAAATATAAATATTATTTTCGTATAATCACGAAATTTACGTCAGCATGATTCAACAGGATAAAAACATGATTTTACCTCAATTGAAAGTATGTAATTTGATTGTTTTTTTCTTTAATTCCATATGTGCGTATGTATAATATAAATACACACACATATACATATTATTTTAAAAAATACAAACTTGACTCTACACCAATCTAATTTTAGTCCCTTATTCCATGCACCTCTCCTCCCAAATCTTAGTCTGTGATAAAATAATAATAATAATAATAAATAACAGCAAATAAATCGTGTGTACGTTCCTAGCTGTACCTGACACCAACCAAGTGCTTGAAATTGCGTACAAAAGATGTAATTTATGCTGACTCATCAAATTAGTATAATGTTTTTTTTTTTTAAAATACATTTTAAAAAAGTCCTTCTATATATATTTGAAACATTGAAAGGAAATCGAAAAAGTGAGAAGAAAAGAAGACATGAAGAAACAGCAGCACACGCTTCGGCGCAGCTGAGTTATGTTGTGGCCCACAAAATACAATTTTTTATTCCTTTTTTTAAGCGAAGAAATTGCAAAATTGCATCTGTTATGTTTCCTAAGCTTTAAATTAAAGCCCTTAATTGTTTCTTTTGCTAAAGATTACAACCAAAAGGGCATCACATTTTCTTTTGTCCTCTTTCTCCAAAGCACAGACAACGTTATTTCCGGATCCAACACCTTCCCCTTATTTCAATATGCTTTCTTTTCTTTAATTTGCTACCTTTCTTTCGTTGCTTGTTTTAGTATTAATCACTTCTCCTAAGTTTTCAAACCTTACCAATTTAAATTCTTGATATTTGTGAGCGATCTTACCATATTTAAAGTTTACTAATTTTATACATTGGTCAGTCGAAAGAATCAAAACTGTTATGAGATGAAATGAGGAAAACCATCGTCTTATTTTGTTGTCATTTTTCAACGACATAGATTGAAATATGAGATTTGATAGGTCAAAGACTGATTAATGAAGAGGTAGAATTTGATTAAGCATGGGTTTAATTAAAGATCTTCCTATAAGCATTACAAAAAATGTGTTATGGAGTTGGATTTGGCATGAAGCATAAATCCCCACTCTAATTGGAGAAATGGAAGATGCATTTGGTGAGAATGCATTTGGGTTTGTGCCCCATCAAGTCAACAGATAGATTTGTTTGGTCTCTTTGACCCTTTATTAGTACATTGAGAGAATTCTAAATACCATGTGATTTTGATTCAGCTTTGTTGACCAACTATAAACTCAAATGTCTTTCAATTCTTTCAATTATCAAGTTTACCTTCAACTCAAAATTTAATTCTTTAAGGCCACCTTTTGAGAATATTATCAGTTATGATAAGGATTTTGTTTTTTATTTTTAGAAATTATGTTTGTTTCCTGGAATTCAAATTCTTTTTCAAATCACAAAAGAAAATAAATTTTTTAAAAATTATTTTTTGAGAGCTCGTTTTTGTTTATTGTTTTTAGAAACGTAAACCATATATGTTTGAGAAGTGTTTTTTAGTTTTTTCTTTTAAAAATAAAAAACCAAATAGATTTGATAACTACTTTTTATTTTCTATTGTTTAAAAAGTTAAAAAGAGTTAGAGAGAGAAACTCTATTTAATTAAAATAGGGATGACAATAGGTGAGATCCGAGTTGGGGATTTCCTACCTAGCTCCCAATCCCTTGTCTTTGTGGAAATTTTGTAGTCGACGTCTCTCCACTCTCCAACTCTATAAATAGAGGTCCAAGAATCCTCGTTTGGCCAATGACAATCTTCACACGAAAAATTACCAAGTTTATTAATTAGTTTTAAAATTAAAAAATAGAAAGAGTAATAAATATATAAAAATTATATCTATTGTACTAAAATATTATCAGTTACTAGCATAAATAATTAATTTTAAAAAATATTTTATATTTTATTCATTATTTTCTAAAATAGTTAATAAAATACATACTAAGTATTTAAAAAATAGAATGGTGAAAAATGCATTTCCTATTTTGGAGTGGAGACCTGACCCTACGACAATTTTTGGCATTCTTAATGTAGAGATGAGATAAAAGTATAGAGAGATAAAAAGAAACTTTTTAAAGATAAATTTTAGAGAGATTAGATTACTAGATATAAAGAAAAAGATTTAGAGATTGAAAAGTTAGAGAAAAAAAAAATTTAGTGAGAGAGAAGTTTAAAACATGGAAAATTTTAAAGAAAAAGGATAAAGTTGAGAGCAAAATACATGTTAAAGAGAGAAAAGTTTGAATGAATAATAAAAATTATAGTGAGCAAAACTTTAGGGGAAAAAAAAAGAGTTCAAAATATATTTGTTTGTTAAAAAATAAATAAAAGGAGAGAAAAAAATTATAGTGAAAAAGTTTTGAAAAAGATAAAATAATTTAGATAGACTAAAGTTAGAGATATATTTGTTATAAGAAAAATAAATTAAAAATAGAAACATTTATAGGAGAGAAAAAAAATTTGAGAAAATATTAAATTTTTAGTCAGACGAAGGAGAGTGATATAGTCATATGAGACCAAAGAAATGAAAACCTACTTAAATGAAAATTTTGGAGTGAGAGATAAATAATAGTAAATATTCTAGAAATAAAAATTGTAGAAAGAGAAAATTATATTTTTAGAGAGAGGAATTTAAATAGAAAAAAATTTTAGAATGGAAAAGAAATTTATTAGAAAAATATGTCGAAGAAAAAAAAATCTTCTATTAGAAGAAAAAAAATATAATTTTAATAATATAAATCTTTTTTAAAAAATTATTTTTTTGGTTTTTGAAATTTACTTTGAATTCAAAAAACATTTTAGAAAATAAAAAATTGAAAATTGAATCCATCATTGAACAAGCATTTTTTCAAAAATTAAAAATAAAAAATTGAAAATGAAAGGGTTAACAAATAATAGTCCTAAGTTAATTTTAAAAATATTTTAAAAGAAAACACATTAGTTTTATAAGTATACTTTTAAAAAATAGAAAATAGAAAATAGTTATCCCATGACAGAAAAGATCGTTTTTATTTATGAGATCTTGGTTTCTTCTCGTGATTTGCAGTGTGTTCGATATTTATTTATTATTTATTTTAGAAAAACGAAAATACTTTTAGTTATGGTTCCAAACCAGTCTATTTCTTTTTTAGTACCAAACGAATTTAATTAAATATGTCTCATTTAAAAACAAATTTATTCTTAATTTTATGTTTTAAAAAATTGAACAAGCTCACTAACAAATTTATTGGTTTGAACTTTATTTTTTTATTAAGAAAAAATATCTAAAATCCTAGTTTTTTAAAAGACAAATATATAATTTTATCTCCATTTCTATCTTTTAAAAATTCAATTATTTCCCTTTATATACATATAAAGTTTTTTTTTCTCTCTTTTTTTTTTCAAATCAAGTTATGTTAAAAGAATGATAATATAAACATTAGTATATATTTTTTTTAATGAGGTGGTCAATTGGTATTAAAACTAGCGTGGTTAATACATTCTATATATATATATTTCAAAGCAAGTAATCGCAAGTCTTTTAATACAATAAATATGAGCGGAGAACTGAACCTTCAACTTTTAAGAAGACAATAGATTCTTATTCATCACACTATACTAAGGTATTGCAGGTTAAGATCCTATCAAATTAATAGATTTCTATGATCTCATAGGTGGATATATCATATATCTAACTATCATTAAATTTAAACATATAACTAAAATTTTAAAAATGTATTCTCTCTGACCATAGTAATTTAAATTTGGATTTTTTTTTGCCCAAATGTGACCCAAAAATTAGATGCCTAATAAAAATTGACCTTTTAATGCATTAGCTCCATATGAATTTACATCTCTATTTTCAACCTGTCGATTATGTTCTCACATTCTTAACCAATATAGTTAAAATTTTAATTTGGGAGTTTTTA